CTTAGTTCTCCCGGAAATCGATTTTTAATCGCAATTTTAACTTTCCAAAAAAATTCAAAAATAAAAATCCCTCTCAATTTTCTAAGTTTTATAACTCGCCAAATCTCTAGCCAAATTTTTTTTGGCCCGTATAAATATTGTTAGGCACTATATAGGGATGCTATTTATCCTATTTTCATCCCATTTTACTGTTATCGCCTAGTGAATGTACCTTTTTAATGAATGCCCTATGACATTATTAGGTGTGTCCAGGCGGCATCGGAATTGATCGGGAAATCGGGATAAAAGTATTCAATTTTATCCCGATAAATCGGAATGAAAGTATATACTACAAGTTGGGCTATTTTAATTATAAATTAAAATAATAATTTGCATTCGCATTACAGTAGAGATATAATTTAAAGTTTTGAATCAGAATGTCTTATTGAAAAACAGATTTGTCTGATCACAAGCACTTAAGACTTTTATAACAATAGAAATGTGTTTATGATATTGAAATAGTCAAATTACAATTTTTTTTTCTAAGATGTCTTATTGAAAAACAGATTTGTCTGATCACAAGCACTTAAGACTTTTATAACAATAGAAATGTGTTTATGATATTGAAATAGTCAAATTACAATTTTTTTTCTAAGATGTCTTATTGAAAAACAGATTTGTCTGATCACAAGCACTTAAGACTTTTATAACAATAGAAATGTGTTTATGATATTGAAATAGTCAAATTACAATTTTTTTTCTAAGATGTCTTATTGAAAAACAGATTTGTCTGATCACAAGCACTTAAGACTTTTATAACAATAGAAATGTGTTTATGATATTGAAATAGTCAAATTACAATTTTTTTTCTAAGATGTCTTATTGAAAAACAGATTTGTCTGATCACAAGCACTTAAGACTTTTATAACAATAGAAATGTGTTTATGATATTGAAATAGTCAAATTACAATTTTTTTTTCTAAGATGTCTTATTGAAAAACAGATTTGTCTGATCACAAGCACTTAAGACTTTTATAACAATAGAAATGTGTTTATGATATTGAAATAGTCAAATTACAATTTTTTTTCTAAGATGTCTTATTGAAAAACAGATTTGTCTGATCACAAGCACTTAAGACTTTTATAACAATAGAAATGTGTTTATGATATTGAAATAGTCAAATTACAATTTTTTTTCTAAGATGTCTTATTGAAAAACAGATTTGTCTGATCACAAGCACTTAAGACTTTTATAACAATAGAAATGTGTTTATGATATTGAAATAGTCAAATTACAATTTTTTTTCTAAGATGTCTTATTGAAAAACAGATTTGTCTGATCACAAGCACTTAAGACTTTTATAACAATAGAAATGTGTTTATGATATTGAAATAGTCAAATTACAATTTTTTTTTCTAAGATGTCTTATTGAAAAACAGATTTGTCTGATCACAAGCACTTAAGACTTTTATAACAATAGAAATGTGTTTATGATATTGAAATAGTCAAATTACAATTTTTTTTCTAAGATGTCTTATTGAAAAACAGATTTGTCTGATCACAAGCACTTAAGACTTTTATAACAATAGAAATGTGTTTATGATATTGAAATAGTCAAATTACAATTTTTTTTTCTAAGATGTCTTATTGAAAAACAGATTTGTCTGATCACAAGCACTTAAGACTTTTATAACAATAGAAATGTGTTTATGATATTGAAATAGTCAAATTACAATTTTTTTTCTAAGATGTCTTATTGAAAAACAGATTTGTCTGATCACAAGCACTTAAGACTTTTATAACAATAGAAATGTGTTTATGATATTGAAATAGTCAAATTACAATTTTTTTTTCTAAGATGTCTTATTGAAAAACAGATTTGTCTGATCACAAGCACTTAAGACTTTTTAACAATAGAAATGTGTTTATGATATTGAAATAGTCAAATTACAATTTTTTTTCTAAGATGTCTTATTGAAAAACAGATTTGTCTGATCACAAGCACTTAAGACTTTTATAACAATAGAAATGTGTTTATGATATTGAAATAGTCAAATTACAATTTTTTTTCTAAGATGTCTTATTGAAAAACAGATTTGTCTGATCACAAGCACTTAAGACTTTTATAACAATAGAAATGTGTTTATGATATTGAAATAGTCAAATTACAATTTTTTTTCTAAGATGTCTTATTGAAAAACAGATTTGTCTGATCACAAGCACTTAAGACTTTTATAACAATAGAAATGTGTTTATGATATTGAAATAGTCAAATTACAATTTTTTTTCTAAGATGTCTTATTGAAAAACAGATTTGTCTGATCACAAGCACTTAAGACTTTTATAACAATAGAAATGTGTTTATGATATTGAAATAGTCAAATTACAATTTTTTTTCTAAGATGTCTTATTGAAAAACAGATTTGTCTGATCACAAGCACTTAAGACTTTTATAACAATAGAAATGTGTTTATGATATTGAAATAGTCAAATTACAATTTTTTTTCTAAGATGTCTTATTGAAAAACAGATTTGTCTGATCACAAGCACTTAAGACTTTTATAACAATAGAAATGTGTTTATGATATTGAAATAGTCAAATTACAATTTTTTTTCTAAGATGTCTTATTGAAAAACAGATTTGTCTGATCACAAGCACTTAAGACTTTTATAACAATAGAAATGTGTTTATGATATTGAAATAGTCAAATTACAATTTTTTTTTCTAAGATGTCTTATTGAAAAACAGATTTGTCTGATCACAAGCACTTAAGACTTTTATAACAATAGAAATGTGTTTATGATATTGAAATAGTCAAATTACAATTTTTTTTCTAAGATGTCTTATTGAAAAACAGATTTGTCTGATCACAAGCACTTAAGACTTTTATAACAATAGAAATGTGTTTATGATATTGAAATAGTCAAATTACAATTTTTTTTCTAAGATGTCTTATTGAAAAACAGATTTGTCTGATCACAAGCACTTAAGACTTTTATAACAATAGAAATGTGTTTATGATATTGAAATAGTCAAATTACAATTTTTTTTCTAAGATGTCTTATTGAAAAACAGATTTGTCTGATCACAAGCACTTAAGACTTTTATAACAATAGAAATGTGTTTATGATATTGAAATAGTCAAATTACAATTTTTTTTCTAAGATGTCTTATTGAAAAACAGATTTGTCTGATCACAAGCACTTAAGACTTTTATAACAATAGAAATGTGTTTATGATATTGAAATAGTCAAATTACAATTTTTTTTTCTAAGATGTCTTATTGAAAAACAGATTTGTCTGATCACAAGCACTTAAGACTTTTATAACAATAGAAATGTGTTTATGATATTGAAATAGTCAAATTACAATTTTTTTTCTAAGATGTCTTATTGAAAAACAGATTTGTCTGATCACAAGCACTTAAGACTTTTATAACAATAGAAATGTGTTTATGATATTGAAATAGTCAAATTACAATTTTTTTTCTAAGATGTCTTATTGAAAAACAGATTTGTCTGATCACAAGCACTTAAGACTTTTATAACAATAGAAATGTGTTTATGATATTGAAATAGTCAAATTACAATTTTTTTTCTAAGATGTCTTATTGAAAAACAGATTTGTCTGATCACAAGCACTTAAGACTTTTATAACAATAGAAATGTGTTTATGATATTGAAATAGTCAAATTACAATTTTTTTTCTAAGATGTCTTATTGAAAAACAGATTTGTCTGATCACAAGCACTTAAGACTTTTATAACAATAGAAATGTGTTTATGATATTGAAATAGTCAAATTACAATTTTTTTTTCTAAGATGTCTTATTGAAAAACAGATTTGTCTGATCACAAGCACTTAAGACTTTTATAACAATAGAAATGTGTTTATGATATTGAAATAGTCAAATTACAATTTTTTTTCTAAGATGTCTTATTGAAAAACAGATTTGTCTGATCACAAGCACTTAAGACTTTTATAACAATAGAAATGTGTTTATGATATTGAAATAGTCAAATTACAATTTTTTTCTAAGATGTCTTATATCACTATAATGTTTTATTGTTTCCATTCAAACTATAATTACAATTCTATACAAAATCCAATGAATATAAAAATAACCTTTAATTCAACCAAAATAAAAAAAATAATATAATCAATTAGTCATCTTCCGACAAAGGACTTTCCAAATCATCTTCATCAAATTTTGGTAAAGCCTGACTTAAATTTCTCACTCTGTTTAATCTCTTTTCGCATTTTTCAGCAATAATTTCAAGTTTGTTCTTCTGTATTTCCTTTTTTGGACGTATGATCCAACTATCGTCATCATCGCTATCAACATTATTCTTTTTGGGCATAGCAGGGTTGGAAATTTCTTTAAAATTTTGAACTTCTTCAACTTCTTTGTAAACGTCGCTTTCAGACGATATAGGTTCCTCGTCATTGTCTGATTCAGATTTGTCTGTAGTACTTTTCTCGTTTGGAGCATTTGAAATTTTTTTATTTTCAAAAGTCTCGGATTCTGAACTTATTGGTGTCTCAAAAGATCCATCTGATAATTCTGGAATAGGATATGGACTCTTTTTACCTTTAGCCTTTACCTCGAAATCATCATCAGAATCATCTGAGAGAGGTTCATCTGTAACTTCTGAATTTGAACTGCTGTGGTCTGAATTTGAATGAGCCTTCTCAATTTTGCTTGTTTTGCGAGTAATTTTCGAAAATTTTTCACCAAGATCACCATTAGACTTTTGTATGTTCTTTTTTCTTGTAAGACAACGATTACTTCTTTGTTTTGGAAATTTGGTTCGGTTAATTTTCGTGATTCCCTTTTGTTCGATTGAGAATAAATTCTCGGTGAGTAATGTTTTATCGAATTTGTAATTTGATGGATTTGCCATTGATTTGATCACTTGATTAACCACTTTATTCTGGTCATTTGGGATTTCATTGAGAATCTTCTCATCATTTTGAGAAAACTCACCTGTTTCTGGTGTAAAGTCGATTGAATTCTCGTTTACTTGATTTGACTGTTGAAATTTATTTGAATTTTTTCTTGGAATTTCGATTTGTTTCGGATAAATAATTTGTAATTGCTTTTTTTAATATTTGCTGTGGACTTTGTATAATTGACAGGATGTTTTGCTGGTTTTGTACTGAGTAATTGTTTATCCAACAAGTGTTTATCGACTTTCATTAAGATTGCAATCATTATTTCGAGGCTAGGATGGGCATTTTCTAATTCTTTCGAAAGCAAAGAATGGAAGGATTCAAGAGCATTATTTGTGTAGATATCATCCTCTGAATCTAATTGGTTAATGAACTCATAATCTTTCTTCCATACTTTTTTATAGTAATTTACGAACGGCTTTGCAATTTCTGAGGATGACTCATCGATTAATTTAAGTATTTGATAAAATGAGTCTTTTTCGACGAAAGGTAATGAGGAATAAATTTGGTAAAGTGTAAAAATCTCTTTTGGTATCTCTTGTTTCGGGTATAATTCTTTTATTTTGCGAATTAATGCTTGGCGATAATGAAATAAGCAGCCAGTAACCTTTGCGTTTGGACAAAATAATTTAATGGATTTGTAAAGTGCGATTTCAAAATCTACGTAAACAGTTTTGAAATTGTTGAACCCAATTATTGAAATTAATGCGGAAAATGCGGTTGTATACGCTTCTGCTGTCCGAGATTTCATAAGAATGTGGACAACAGGAATGTATTCATTCGTTGTTTGGTCAAGCACCATTAATGTAAGGAGTTGACCCTTGTCATCGAACTGTCTTGGGACGATTTTAAAGGTACCGTCCAAGAATAATTTTGTTGCTGAGTGACAAATTGAGACAGAACGATCATAACCGAAAATTATTATTGGTTCTGGGTAAAACGCGATGTATTTTAGAAAATTTTCGGAATTTTTTTGGTAATTGAAAGAATTTGTTCCACAAAATCTGGAATAACCAAATTATGTGGATAAAACTCTTTGTATAATGTGCGTGGTAAATTTTCTGGTATTTTTGGAGGCCTTTCAAGTTTTGTTGCCTCAGAAAGTAAATATGATAATATTTGCGCTTCTGAAGTTAACGGTTGTATTGAATGGTGTTCACGTGTAATTTGCATTAGATCCCTAATTTTTGTTTCTTCTTCAATATCTCTAAAAACTGTACCTTTTGGTGTGCATGAATGCTCACCACTGAGAGGTTCGATTTTTGGAATTTGATTTGGGTACAGTGTCACTTTTATTTTGTAATTGCAGCTTCCTTCGCATTTGTAAACGATTGAATATGAATGTTCGGTGCCGGATGAATCAATTTTGTGAAATTTATAGGGAGGACTAATATAATATTGTGTGTAAACGTTTTTATCGCAATCTCTGAGTTGAATTGTGCAAGCACACTTTAAATAATTCCATACGTGCTTTCTTAAATTTTTTGAATAATTTGGAAAGTGTAAATTTAAAAATTGATTCAGAAATTCATGCTTATTTGTAGCATCTTTTTGATATATGATAGCTGCTCCATTCAATTCATCGGTCTGAGGCTGAGAAAAATGAAAAGTACGAGGAGGCATATGATTGTCAAAATTTTATAAGTTATATAATAGTGATCTGCACTATTAAGAGGAGTTTTTTCATTACTATTTTTTTCAGATTTCTTTACTTTTTCTGAAATTTAATTATAATTGGATGTTATACTTCAATTCCTTAGTTGATAATAAAAGAACATAATATATGATCTTTGTTTCATTATTTAATTTTGTTCTATTTCCTTTATTTGACGAGAAAAATGAAAATTGTTTTCGAAAAACTCCAAAAAAATTAGAGGAAACCGAATTTGTCTTGAAAAATTAATGATATTAATCTCATTTTTGAAATTTTTTAAAAATTTTGGTGAGTATTCACAATGTTAAAATTGAAATTTATCTAAGAAGGATGCAAATCTCATAATTTAAGGAAACAATTCATATATTTTGAAGGAGTGGAATAAAATTTTAGGCATTTACGATATTATTTTAGAAATTAAACTGATATATGAGAAAATCTGTAAACTAGTAACAGCATGTAGAATGAATAAGAATAAAAAGAAAATGAGAAATTATTTAGTAAAATTGAATAAGAAAAAACTGAGAAGTATTCAAAAAAATAATAAATTATAAAATATTAGTTTTATATAGTATATTAATATTTCACAATTTATTTTTGAATGTGTTTGAAATGAATTGAGAAGATTTTATATGAAAATGTATTTATGAAAATTGCAGAATGAGATTATTATAAAGAGTTAACAATAGGTAATATTAAAAAAAATGGTGAAAGATGAAATAAGATATTAGATGAAGAAGAAAATAATAAAGAAATAAAAAAGATAAAGATTAAAAAAATAAATTTATGATAAAAAGAAAGTGGTGGTTAAATGTAATGTACTGTGAAGTTGCGTTTAGAAATATTGAGAAAGGTGAAAGATAAAAGAATATGAAATTAATTGAAAATAAAATAGTAAAATTAAGTAGGGAAGGCATTGTTTGCTTTAATATTATATGTAAAAGAGATATTGATAAACAGTAAATGATTTGTTAATTACTTGTCTTCCTTTTTTGCACCAAAATCAAAATTCTCACCCGATCAGTAATCGAAAATTTTGTAGCATACGATTATTTTCCATTGAAAAATTATCACTAAAAAAATTTATTTTCATGTATGAAGGAGGTAGGAAATGACATCCTTTTGAGGCCAAGTTTATGAGCATGCTCTGGATCCTTATGAGGCCAAGACTTCCAATACATTCCTAGAGGCCAAGTTTTCTGAGAATTTCCACATCACGGACAATTCTCAGCGGAATCCGGCCCTTGGGATCATTAAATACGAAGCTCTAGCCTTTCTTGATGCCAGAGTCTGCAAGGCTAATCCTCAGGGCTGAGTTTGAGGGAGATCACCATTATCAAGGACGGTCTCCTCTCTCCTCAGCCCTGAAACACCTACGGATACAGGATCTGGTTGTTGCTGAGGCCAGAGCTTCGCTTCCTAATCTCAGGGCCGTTTTTCTCAATTGCCGTCTTGTTCTTGGCGGCAGGAGAGGAATCCAGCCCCGGAATCGATAAATACGAATCTGTGGCCTCATTATAGACCAGAGTCTGCAATTTATTTTATATAATATTTTTTTTATTTATTATTTTTTTTCAATGATTTGTTTTTAAAGATTATTGGTACAGTATCTTTTAATATTTAAGTAAAATAGCAAAATACCCTTTGAAAAACTATTGTCAGACAATATTTTATAATCTCTATATTCATTCATAAAAAAAATACGTCTAGTGGAATAAAATTTTAGGCATTTACAATAGAAATTATCATAAACACATTTCTATTGTTATAAAAGTCTTAAGTGCTTGTGATCAGACAAATCTGTTTTTCAATAAGACATCTTAGAAAAAAAAATTGTAATTTGACTATTTCAATATCATAAACACATTTCTATTGTTATAAAAGTCTTAAGTGCTTGTGATCAGACAAATCTGTTTTTCAATAAGACATCTTAGAAAAAAAATTGTAATTTGACTATTTCAATATCATAAACACATTTCTATTGTTATAAAAGTCTTAAGTGCTTGTGATCAGACAAATCTGTTTTTCAATAAGACATCTTAGAAAAAAAATTGTAATTTGACTATTTCAATATCATAAACACATTTCTATTGTTATAAAAGTCTTAAGTGCTTGTGATCAGACAAATCTGTTTTTCAATAAGACATCTTAGAAAAAAAATTGTAATTTGACTATTTCAATATCATAAACACATTTCTATTGTTATAAAAGTCTTAAGTGCTTGTGATCAGACAAATCTGTTTTTCAATAAGACATTCTGATTCAAAACTTTAAATTATATCTCTACTGTTGTTCATCAAAAGAAGAAAACTTTGATAACAACTAATGATGATAAAATCAAGCTATCTTTTAATATTTTAAATTGATAAGACATTCAAAATATTTGAATGGTTTAAAATATTTTCTTTTAATTTCTATAAGATATTATCATGATTATATAATAAAATTTAAATTTTTATTCAAAAAGGCAATATTTCAAACTTTTAATTTCAAAAATCTTAATTCTGCAATAGGTGTATTTAATTGTAGCAAATTTAATGATCCTTCGTCATGCTTAGCAATTTGGAACTCATAAATTAATGATTTCTTCAAGTAAAATTCTGCATTATTTCAAAAGTCAATAATTCTCTAGTAACTTTTCTTCAAACCCTAACCATTATATTATATGTATAATGGAGAATAATTGCAAAGAAAGATAGCCGAATTTACTGGGTAGTTCTTGTGATGCGAAATAATTGCAAATTAACACGTGGTTTTAACAGCATCAATCTCTTTTTGCTCTCATTTAAATGCATTCGCACACTTTAATTTTGAAATATAAGAGTTTTGGAAATTATCAAATTTATCTGCTCAAATACTATAGATCTTCATAAGTGTTAATAGAATCATTAGCCTTACATATAGTGTTTAATATAATGATGCACATTATACTGGGATTCATTCCTTATTCATCTAGTTATTATAAGATTTACAACCCCATGAAAATTTAAAATTTTGTCAAAAATAGTGAATGTACCTTTGATGGAAATAAATATATATTTTATGTATGCTATTTACAAGTATGAAACTTTAATATGTTTGTATTTTTTTATATTTTATGTCAGTGATTACTTCAATTCTTGCTCCAACAACTTCAGATGAGAAATATATTGAAACTTTGGTGAAAGAATTGACTGCTAATAATGCTGATGAAACATGTGGAAGGATTTCCGAGGTTTTTAAAAATAATAAAGATGTTCCAAGACAATTATTTGTACCCGTCATTCAAAAGATATGTGCTTTTGTCGAACAAAATAATATAGAGCAAGCTACACATGTTTTATTAACATTTAACAGATTTGAACATGTATTTTTCAAAACATTAGATCTAGCACCGTTATTCAAGATAATTAGTACAAACAACAACTTATATAGCACACCTCTGCTCCCGCCATTTTGTGGATTATGCTTTAAATGCATCAATAACAATGAAGACTTATTTAGATTAACATCTACACCAAATATAATTGCCGACTTTGTTCCATATGCTTCAAATCCATTTGTCATATCATTTATCGTCAAAGTGGCTCAAATAGATACATCTTTACGTGTTCCATTAGTTTTTAACGGATTAATCGAACAAATATTACCTACAGTTGCAACAAACGAGACACATTTAGAATTACTATCATTGCTCATATCAAATGTTCAAACAAGAAAGTATTTTATTGATATGGGCCATATTCCGAGATTATTAGATACTTTATTCCAAACAAACTTCTCAAACTTAGCCACAAACGCATTTATAGCATTACTATACCCTAAAGACTTAACAAATCTCTTCAACGCCCAAGATTCAGTGTTCAATGACGGAGCATTTGAGAGATTTATCGAAGTTGCGAAAAATATCACAGCAGATGATGAATCCGTTAAAAATGTTCTTAAATGTATCAATAGTTGTTTATTTTGCCATCCTTTAAAGAATTTTGATTCAAATTTGCTTTTAGATGTAGCTGCAAGAAGACCTTCAACGAGACATTATGTTCTAGATGTATTAGAAACAATATCTATGTCAAATGGAAGGTTTTTATTCCAAGATGGAGCAGTTATGGAAATTGAAGAATTATTTAATGACAAAATGTTCTTTTTATTCATTTCTTACATCTGTTATGAATGCCACAAGTCATCAAAGTTCGATATACTAGGATTTGTCCCTCAAAACAGGCAAGAAAAAATATTAAAATCTGTAATTTGCATACAAAGAAGATTATTCTACGAACAAGCAATAGTAGAATCCCAGGATGCAAGTGATGAACTCTTGAGAAGTTTGTCTTGTGTACTACTCCTTGTTTGCAGAAAAAGTGATGAAAGAAGAGGAATTTTAATTCAATACTCAGTGTCACTTTTTGGTAAATATCAAGGTGAAGTGAGACTTCCTCGGAGTTTTTTGTGCTGGGGAGCACAAGAATTTTGTCCATCGAGGATTGGATATTGGATGAAACGCATAACTCCTCGTATAGAAATGAAAAATTCGGAAATTTTCGACTTATCTCCACAGAAATCTGCTGAAGAAATGCGAACTTTGAACTATGCAGCAAATGAAGCAATCTCTGAGAACAAGAGACTCAAGATCCACGTAAAAGCTTTACTTGACGACAAAGAAGAATCAGAAAAAGCATTTGTTAACCTTGAAAAGGAAATTGTAGCTGCAAAAGTTGTCCAGTTGAAGAAATTCACCGAATAATTGTTATTTGTTTAGATAAAATAAATGTTGTTTTGATAGTTATAACTTTATATTTTTTTATAACGTAGATCAATCTTCTGAGTCCCGGAAATTTGACTGATTATTGTTTTTTTTTTGTTTCAATTTTTGGTTTTTAATTCTGATTATTCAGGGTGCACTTACAACTTTCTGACATGCTCCCATAATATCAATATCTCTTTATTGTGATTGCAAAAAAGTATTACAATAATATAAGGTAAAAAGTAGTGATTTAAAATAACCTCTTCCCGAACAAAGTTAATGAATTTTTACCATAGAAAATTTGGATAAAAAACAAGAATGTCAAAAAAACAAGATTGTCAAGAAAGTGGTAAGTGCACCCTTAAGGTTATTTATCAATTCAACTTCAGGCCAGTTTATATTAGTATAGATATAAGCCTCTTTTTTAAATATTGAAGGCAATTCGAATATATGCGTTTCTCTGGACGACTGCTTTAAAGTTACACAAGCTTGTCATGAAAATGTAGGGCCAAAAAATTATGCAACGTTATTTGATTATTTGATTCAATGTAATTCTCCAGAAATAAGAAATTCATAAAAATGATTTTACATATCAATCAAAAAAGTCGAAAAATATCGGATTTAATTATTTAAATCCAACAGTGAGTAATAGTATAACAATGATTCTACTATTATTTTAGTATAAATTTTGATGAAATTTTATTTTTTGTAAATAATAAAATTCGTTTATAGACTGTAATTTATTCAAGGAAATAAATCCAATGGATTATCAAAATTCGGAACTTCTGTAAATTGTTTACTTTTCTCATCTGATTTATGATCCTTTTAAATCACTCGTCTTTATGGGGTTTAATTATATTGATTTCAATGAGATTTTCCAATCTGATTCAGCAGTTTTGAAATTTCGTAATTGGTTTTCAATTCTTTAGCAAATGAATGCTGTTTATTGAGAGGTTAAACTGTAGAGTGCTTTCTGCTGAAATGATCATTTGATAGAAAATTATTTTTAAAAAGAAATGTGATTATTTTATTGCAATTGGTTCTCCTGATAAACTAAAGATTTCGAGAGGATATATAGGTTTGTAGTCACTAAAATCCAATGGTTTAGGCTCTTTGCTTGTAACTTCAAGGGATGAATCAGGTAAAACAATTGAATTTAATTTCTTGTCCATATAATTCGAGTTGGATATCGTAGTGCACGCTTCAAGCGCTGCTTTAAAGCTGCCAAATTCGAGAAATATGTATCCATCACAAATTGATCGAGAATTATTAGGCCATTTGAATGAAATAGGGTTTACAAGAGTTTTAAAAAACGAGAGAGTTGATTCGTATCGTGCTGCAAAGTTTAAATTTGTTACTAAAACCCATTTATTCTGTCCCATTTTTAAATAACGATTATTTTCAATTCAAATGTAAATAATAAGGACTTTTTTTGTCGAACTGCGCTTTTGCACGGTTACCTAGCAGGATGATTTTATAGCTTGAGAATTATTATATAATTGTTTTATATTTTAGCAGGTGGGGCGCTGAAGAGTTGTGGATTTTTTTTTTGGAAGCAACTTGTGCAGATTAAAATCTAGAGAATCAGAGACAGACTAATATGCGACAAATTGATGGTAACATCGCAGATGCGCATATCGGGGCAGACTAGTGACTTTTATAATAATCTGAATTCCCATTTTTCGAATCAAGCATTCATTTATACTTAACGATGAAATTTACAACTATAAAAATCTTATTCAAATACCTACAGTTATGAATACTTTATAGGTAAATTTTGAAATGCAAAGTAAGAAATTAAAATTAGAAAATAACAATGCCCTAAGCTAAGTAAATACTCTCCTGATAAGTATTTAAATTTTTCGTTGCAAATTTTTATTCAAATTAAAATATTTCTTATAATTTGTACTTTATTAGCATATTTAAAAAGAAAATTATTTGGGAGAGATTGAGAAGAATGAGTTTAGTTTAAATAATTAAGTTTGACAGAAAATTTTTGCTTATTGTTCGAGTTGTTTGTATAATTTGTAAAGATCCTCGTTAAGTGGCTTAAGCTTTCCAACGAGATCCTCGAATGGGACAAGGTTGACCTTTTCGTCCTTGATGCCAACCATCTTGCCAGATTCACCAGCAAGGAGAGCGTCGACAGCGGCCATACCCATGATTGTGCCGTAGTAACGGTCGCGATATGATGGAGCACCACCACGCTGTGTGTAACCTAAGACTGTTGTTCTGACATCGAAGCCTGTCTGGTCTTCAATTGACTTAAGGTAGTCGATGAGGGCCTTTGTGCCTGGCTTCCAGCCTTCGGCGACGACAATGATGGCGTGTGGCTTACCACGAGTATATGCCTGAGTAATTGTCTTTGCGATTTCTTCCATTGATGGGTTCTTGCCTTCTGGGACGAGGCAGACTTCAGCACCAGCGGCAGCGGCAGCCATGAGGGCAAGAGCACCTGAATCACGGCCCATAACTTCAACGACGAAAGCACGTTGAATGGAAGAAGCGCAATCACGAATTCTCTCGATAGCCTCAATGATGATGTTGAGGGCTGTATCGACACCAATGCAAACGTCAGTGCCATAAACATCGTCATCGATTGATCCTGGGAGGCCAATGACTGGGAAACCATCCTTCTGAAGAAGGTTAGCACCAGCGAGTGAACCATTGCCACCGACAACGATGAGACCGTCGATAGAGAATCTGTTTAATGTTCTGATAGCTTCTCTTCTGACCTTTGGTTCCTTCCATGATGGAAGACGAGCTGTACCAATGAATGTACCACCAAGGCCGAGTTTTCCTGAGACACTTCTGGAGTTAAGTTCGAAAATCTTTCCATCAACTAAACCGAGGTAACCTCTGTTGATGCCGTAGACCTTAAGACCTTTCTCGATGCCATAGCGTGTAGCTGATCTGACAATTGCATTGAGACCTGCACTATCACCACCTGATGTTAAGATACCGATAGACTTCATCTACAAAAATAAAAAAGACCAGTTTATTATTCAAAATTTTCTGAAGAATTTGAATATGATTAAAAATCAAAGCAGAAAAGACGATCACAAAATGATACTTTATTTTAATATGATATTAAATACTTTACATCGGCATTTTTAACACATTCCATCATACGAAAATTTTGACATCAATTTTAGGTTTTTTATCCATCAAATTACTTATAAAAGACAATTCAATCAAAAAAGATCGATTACCTCGAATGTTTATTTCAATTTTTAAATTTGTTGTTTTTAGTGAAATAATATGCAAAATAAACTTAAATAATGATACTCTTCAACAAAATTTATTACACATCGTTTATTCATTCAATTTAATAGGTCGATCAAAAATATTATTAGGCTCATTTAAAGATTCTTGTCGTATACTTGGTTGGGAAATATCCAAAATTGAGAGGACTAACATCGAAGACGCTTTCAAATTTTTAATTTTTCATTGACTCTAACCGCCAAGATGGATAACACCAACAATATATAGATCTAAATAAAAGTTAATAAATTTTCAAATTCAATTCGAATCATCTTTTGAGATCGTTATTCGCTATTTGCTTAATTTAATACGCATTCTTTTTGGCTTATGCTAGAACTAATATATTCTGTAGAAAATGGCCACTTTGGATCGTCGTTTCATTCGCTGTTTTGCTAGTCTTTTTTGATAGCCGAAATAACTAGTTAAGAATGTTTAACTACTGGAAGACTAACTATTTCATGTAGAAAATGGTATGATTGGTCTATTCATTGTTTCAAATCATATTCGTATTCGCATTGAAAGAATTCTATCTTTGGTTTTCTATTTTTATACTGGGATCTATGCTATTTTCCCGATATTTTTATCAAATATTTGATTGGAACGCTCAATAATCGGATGAAATTACAACATGTACGTAACTATTTCTCAATTTATCATGAATTCATGCATACAATATTGAACGCTATATATTTCTCTCAGAATCGTTTGAACTTATCCTTAGATAATTTTTATCGGAATCAAATTAAGTAATTGAATTACCAAAAACTATCATGAATCAATTGATAGGATTGTTAAAGCTCAGGGTATTGTTATTTACGTATCATCTATTTATCTGAGTTATATTAGATTAAATATAGAGTTATTCTTTTTAATTTAAGGATGAAAATAAATACATTAATATAATAGATATAATCGTTTATAATTTTAACAAAAATTCGGCAATTTAAGAAAGATAATACTAAATTAAAATAAATCAACAAAACTATCACCATCAGAATCTTCATAATATTTCCTTCTTATAACTTTTTTGATAGGACCTCCTTGTGGACGTTCTTTGCTTGCCATCTCATCGCTTGGTTTTTTCTTTTTCCGTCTTAAAGTTTCTTTTGGTATTAATCGCTGGGATGCATCAATCAAACTTTGTAATGGCTTGGAAATGTTCTCTTCTATTACATCTACAATGTTATTCTCTTTTTTAATGGTAAATTGTTTAACATTTACAATTTGTTGTATTGCCGTTGTAAACCTAGCTCTTGATTGATCTGAAACATAGATCTTAATGAACTTATTGAAATCGCTTTCCTTTTCATCGAAATAAACATATTCACTCGCTGAATATTTCGTTATATCTGCATCATGAAGTGTTTTGATGATTTCTAATGATTTCCTTTTGATTGCATAACTCAAAGCTGTTAACGAAGCATTATTACATTCATCTACATTGCTGCAAATGCTTATCATTCTTGAAACAATTTCTGGTGAACAATATTGGCAAGCAAGCATTAAAGGAGTTTCATTTTCTATTTCTGTTTTGATGGAAATATCACACTTGCGATCAAGAATCTTATTTACAAGGATATCACTTCCTTTCTTAATTGCTATGACAATTAAAGATTCATGCACATAGTTTGGAGATCCATAATATCTTTTAGTATATGGTACTAATATTGGTGGACATATCTTTGGATCGGCGCCATTTTCTAATAGAATATTAACTAATTCAAAGTTATTTGATTGAAATGCATAATTAAGAGCAGTAAATCCTTCTTTATTTTTGGAATTAATATTATGACATTGTTCGACAATGTTTGTAATGGTTTGTTCGGCATTTATTTCAATTGTCTTGGACTTATTAATGGTCTTCAATGCCAATATTAAAGGAGTATTTCCATCAGAATCGATTTCTTCGAAATCTTCGTAATTATCACTTATTAAATTTATTGTTTCAACACTGAAATTTTTGAAAATAGAACAAAGCGGTTTTGGATATCGTAAAGACTTTTGAAGTATATCTATTCCATGCAAAATAAGAAATTGCATTACTTCATCAGATCCAGAATTAATACCATAGTCAAGCAAAGTCATACCATTATATTCAATATCATTTGAAATTTGATATCCTATAATTGAAAGAAATTCAGTCAATTTCCCTGATTTCGCTTCAATTGCATATATAACAGGAGGCTTTCTATCTTTGGTTTGTATTGGAACTCCATTCAAATAGAGATATTCAACAATATAACTATTTCCTTTTTCAATAGCATATTTCATCAATTTGTTGTTTTCTTTCTCGTGTAATACACTTTTATATGAATTATAAATCAATAGGTCAATGATTTCATTTGAAACGTTATAATCAATCGCTTTGAACAATAAAGAATTAACTTCAAAATCATATGAATACTCTAATAACAACTTCATCATATCAATAGATTGAATCTGCATTGCCTTTGTCATCATGATTTTTAGATTCTTTTCATTTCTAATTTCCTCATTATTCATCAAGTATTTGATAATATCAAATTTTCCTCTTTCAACAAGATCAGCAATACTTTCATTAGATGGTTTGTGATTTTTAATAAAGTATTCTATGCCTTTTAAGTAATCAAATCGAAGACATTTTTCATAGTATTGATCAATTTTAAGCCCTTTTTCTATTGCAAAATCTGCAATTTTGAATAATTTGTTTTTCAGTAAATAACCAAAAGAATCATCAATATTGTTCATTATACAAAATGTATATGCTCTAACATTGAAACATTTCAAGCATATGAGACTGCTGATATTTATTTTTGTTGAATTCGAAATTATCCAATCAGCAATTTCATTGTGATGATATTTAATTGCAGTTGTCAAATAAGGAGTAAAAGAAAACTCTAACTCATTAAGAATACTAATGATATCAAGATTTCCAGAGATTACTGCTAATTTACACGCTTTTTCTGTTGGTTTTAACCCATTCATTAATAGATATCTAAAAAGTTCCATATTTTCTTTAAGAACTGTTAGATCAACAAGGAAATTGAAGCTTTCATTATTCTCTTTAGGTACACGTTCTTCAAATTCTGCTTTAAACGAATCATTATCATCATTTTCAATGAAATGAGCCAATTTTTCGCTTAAACTAAGTTCTCTATCATCATTGAAGTCAAAATCTCTTTCAGTACTTCTACGAACATCTTTTCTTATTGACGAATTGGTTGTTTTATTAGCTGAATTAAAATTCAAAAAATTGAAAAAGCTTAAGTTTCTTTTCATTATTCTTTTGTAAAACTTTTCAATTAGAATAGACCAGTAACCATCTGGATTTATTTTATCAAGTAGTTTACGAAATTTCTCCGAATTTTGTTCAAAATCGTCGTGGCAAAGAGATATTGCTGCCAATTCTTCAAAATCTCGAAGGAAACTAGGAATCTCACAGCATGATATCTGTGGAATGGCTAGTTCCATCCTGATTCAGTTAGAAAATAAAACCTGTCTTATCCATCAAAGAAAAATTGAGTGGTATTCAAAAATTTTTTTGATTTGACTGAGTGAAATCACTAAAAACAAATAAAATTCTTATTTAAATTTTACGAGCTTTCATCAAAATAACGTGCATGATGCAATCATGTCAAAAGTACATTCCTGATACTTCCCTGCGGCAAAATTTCAAATATATAGAATAAATAGAATCAATGGGAACCATATATGGATGATATGATCTTATTTTGAAAATTTTCTAATATAAATATTCTATTTAGATGCAATCTCCTGTCTTTTTCATCATACTCTGACAAACATAGAATCACAGTATCACAGGAGCATTAGCTTATGCTAATGCTTTCTGGATTAACTTCCACATTTGTATGACATCCCGAGAACTTCAACATGAACTAATTGCAGACAAGTTCTCCGGCTCCTATTATACTTAGAATCACCAATACAAACTTTTGTTGTTGGCATCAATTGAAAAAAAATCTTTACAACATAAACCTCCCATCAAGCCGATTTTCGTTTTCATTTGAAAATAGGAATACCTATTTGATACCAAATCCAAAATACGAAACAAAATTTCGCATCGTAAAAAATTTGAGATCACACAGTTTACAATTTATGTAAAGAAAATTGGTCGAATATAAAAAAAATCCTTAATATTACATTGAGCAATTAAATCATAATTTACTCGTTGTCCTGTGTCCAGAGTTGAACGTTATCACGAAGGAGTTGAAGGATCATTGTTGCCTCAGAGTATGAGTTATCTGAGTTCTTCTCAACATTGGATGAGCATGTATTGTATGTCTTCTGAGCAAGATCGATGGCCTTTTGCTTTTCGCCGATGATCTCATAAAGGAAGACAGAGTAGTTAAGGATGAGGCCGAGTGATGTTGGGCGGTACTGAGCGATTTCAGCGTTGGAAATCTGCATAGCAGCTTCGTAGCATTCCTTAGCCTTCTGGGCTGGTTCTGTCTTCTCATCATCAGAGCGGGATTCGCAGATGTAGCGGTAGTAGTCAGCCTTGAGCTTCTGGTAGAAAACGCGGGATTCAGCTGTCTTGGCAGCTGGGAGAAGGGAAAGATCGACGAGGCCGATAAGCTCGTTGCAGTACTTCTCAAGTTCGCCAAGGATAACCTTGCGATAGGCGTTGAGGGAGGCAACGCGCTGTGTGTTGCCACGGCCATCTTCATGCTCGAGGATAGCGGCGATCATGCGGAGACCATTACGGCGGGATCCGATGATGTTCTTGTATGCAACAGAAAGGAGGTTGCGCTCATCGTTTGTAAGATCAGCAGAAAGCTCAATAACCTTCTTCATTGTGTCGACCATATCCTGATGGCGGTCAGTCTGGTCATAGATTTGAGCCATGAACAAAGCAACGTCGCGTTCGTTCGACATTAGATGTGAAGTGGTCGTAACTATTCAAAACGCCAAATTTCTTTCAAATTAGAAATTATAAACTGTTTTAAGATTAGTAAACATAATATAAATAAGTTTATTGTTGAGGTCTTTATTAAAATAAAAACTGGCGGTTATTTTTTCTCTTGCTTTTTCATAAAAATAAAAATGGAAAATCAAATCGCCTCTATTTCAAAGAATTAAAATCAGATACAGCACCACTTCCAAGATATGATAATGAAAATCAAAAACCAATTGGACGAGAAATAGCAATTAATTCAAAACGTATTTATTCGGATCATTCAACTTAGTTATGCATAGTTAAAATTAATTATGAGAAAATTTCCCTAAAATTATGAATTTTTCAAAATTATCAATTGTCTGCACCTGCTGCAATACGTCTACAGCATGAACTAGTTTAGGATATTGCATTTGACTTATCAAATTAGTATAAATCACTTCGATGGTTTCGGCTAATCATTGAAAGTCAATCAAACAATAACATAATCGATATTTCAGAATTTGCTTTGCCATGAGGGGAATTATAACATAATTCACTTGAGCCTATATTAAGTATAAGTCAATAAAGACGATATCAATCTTTGATATGAGTAACAACAAATTATCTAATAATTTGCAACTGTACATCGGCACTTCGTTCGAAATTTAAAGAATTCAATCAAAAAATTTCAAATAAAAATATGATATTTTCAAAATATAGTACTTTCATATTGAATTATAAGAAAAATGACTGGAAAATAACTGCAGACATTTATCTTTTTAAGAAAACAAACACTATGCCTACAAATAAGATTATCATATTTTATTTTGTGATAAAAATTGATTTTTCAAGTAAGAAAAGAGATTAAAATATTTTTAGTTGGATTTGTTTGAATGTTATTATATATATATACTTTAAGGGCGGGCTCCACAAGCTAGAACGGACTTGCCACTCAAAATCATTGAAATAATGAATCCGTAAAGACCTAAAACTTCTCCGAAAATCAAAATAAGCATAGCACCCATGAAAAGTTCTGGATGAGAGCTCATAGCGCGACATGAAACATCACCAGCAATTCCGATAGCGCAGCCTGATGCTAAACCAGCAAGACCGACACAAAGACCACCACTGAAGATAGCGTATGATTTGAATTGTGAGAATGGATAGTGAATATTTGTTGATGAAATAATTGCAGCGACTAAACCGTAGATACCGACAATACCGGCCATAATGACTGGCATCATAGAACGGTAGAAGAGTTCTGGATGCTCAGAGCAGACCTTGAACAAGCCGATGGCAGATTTGAATGTGCCATAAGCACTTCCTAATGATGTGAAAGAAAGAGCGCAGGCAATTCCGACATATCCGAGAGCAACTGATGTTGGTGGGCAATATGGGTCGTTAAATTGCTGTTCGGGTGAGTAAGTTGCAGACATTCAGCTTTATGAAGTTTACAAAATGGCCTTTTAATTTTCAAGACCTGATCGTCATGACGATTAAAAAGTTCCAATTGCTGGGATGCTATTAAAATATACCAAGCCTATTTTAAAATAAAAAGACTTGACTCAATCAATTTCACCATTTGGAGTTCCATCAGAACTGACATTTGTAAACTCAAACTTTTGACAATGTAAACCAGAAAATTTGACAATTTACAATATTATTTCTTTTTATTATTATGTGTATATAGTAGAAATAATATCTCCATATGAAATTAATATAAATCCCAAAATTATGGTCTCTGACAATGACTTAAAAAATGATATTATTTCATATTATTTGAGAATGATATGTTAGATCTGAAATATAGTATACACATGTAAAACACTTCGGAATGATATATATTTTTGAATTTACAACTAAAGAAATTTCCCAATTTTAAATATGTTGGCCGACGGGCCTCATTCAATTTTATCTTCAGTGAAAATTTTCTATAGAAATTGATTTTTTATCAAAATACTTAATAAGGAACTTAAAAAGAATGAAGGAGCATTCAAAATTACTGTTCTGATTGAGTGTCTGAAAGGTCAAGTGACTGCTGCTTTTATGAATCATATCAAGGAAGTTAGAAACAAAATATACACAAACTTTGTAGAATTTGATGTCTTCAATTAACAGTATATCTCCATTTGTTTATTATTGCTATAATTAATAAAAATGAAAATTAATTTTTATTTCGAATAAAAGATTAAAAGAAGAATCACGTGAAAACTTGTACCAGACATAAACTTCGGATTCAAAGGAATGAACAATGTTGATTGGATTTATTTGGTGCATCATATATAGCGGTATTTTCATTAATGGTAACATCTTTTTCATTGATATTTGCCCCATGGGAAATAAGAACTTCGGCCGCTCTTTTGCTATTATTTTCTGTTGCATAGTGTAGAGCAGTTTTTCCTTTAATATCTGTTTCATTGATATTTGCTCCATGGGAAATAAGAACTTCGGCCACTTCTTTGCTATTATATTCTGCTGCGCGATGAAGGGGTGTTTTTCCATTTTTATCTTTTTCATTGATATTTGCACCAAGTGAAACAAGAAGTTCAGCTATTTCTTTACTATTGTTACATGCTGCAATATGAAGAACGGTTTGTTCATATTTATTTTTTTGATTGATATTTGCTCCATGAGAAATAAGCATTTCGGCCATTTCATTATTATTAAAACGTGCTACATTATGAAGAGCTGTTTTCCCACTTTTATCTTTTTCATTGATATTCGCTCCGTGTAAAACAAGTAACTTGAATACTTCTTTTGCTTGATGTAATGTTGCGGCATGAAGAGCAGTTTCCTCATTAAAATCTTTTTCATTGAGATCTGCACCATGGGAAATAAGAATTTCGGCGGTTTCTTTATTATTTTGATTTGCTGCAACATGGAGAGCTGTTTTCCCATTTGTATCTTTATCATTGATATTAGCACCATGTGATAGAAGTATTTCAGCTGTTTTTATATTATTATTCATTGCTGCAATATGAAGAGCGGTTAGCCCATATTTATCTTTATCATTAATATTTGCACCATGAGAAAGAAGAAGTTCAGCTGTTTCTTTACTATTATTAAGTGCTGCTATATGAAGAATTGTTTTCCCTTCTTTTTCTCTTTCATTGATATTAGCACCATGTGAAATAAGAATTTCAGCTGTTTCTTTGCTATTATAACGTGCTGCTGTATGAAGAACGGTTTGTCCATCTTTATCCTTTTCATTAATATCTGCACCATGTGAAATAAGAAATTCAGCTGTTTCTTTGCTATTATATTCTGCTGTACGACGAAGAGGGCTTACACCAAATTCATCCTTTGAATTGATATTTGCTCCAAGTGAAAGGAAATATTCACAAAGGGATGGAATATCAAACTTCAGTGAATTAAAAAAGCAATTGTTAACATCATTAGTTTGATCGAAATAAACTAAAAATGATTCAAGATTATTATAATTTCCACAAAAAGATAAATCGATGTTTGTGTTGTATTCATTCATCAAGAATGTAACAAAATCAATGTTGTGTGAAATAATTGCTTTTTCCATGCATTCTTTATTTGGTGTTTTATATTTCAAACATTCACTCATGATCTCTGGATTTCCTCCTAAAAATGATAATTCTAGACATGTTTCAGTTATTTTTGATTTAAACTTCGTTCTTAATAACTTAAAGCAATCAACTGAACCATAGTAACAACATAATTCAAGTAATGAATATCCTGGATAAGTTATTGGATATAAACTGCTATTAATTATTAGTTTTTTATCAAATCCTTCTTTTTCGGTGAATGATATGAATGTTTTGAGGTCATTATCCATAATTGCTCTGCAAATTGTATTTTCTGTAAGAATATCGAGATTTCGAAATTTGTAAAAATCACCTAATTTAATCCCATATTCTTTATAAAACAGAAAGATTGAAATAGAGTTAGCATTGCTGACCTCATGGACATGATAATCATCAGATATGAATTTAGCAAGAGTTAAATATGACTTTGAATAGCGATTATTATAAGGAATGATATCTAAAATATCTTTTAAAATATTTTGAGGGAGATATTTCTTTGAATCAATCAACTCTGTTTTGAGCATTTTGTAAATCTCGTATAAATCTTCTTCATTTTGTGTTTTCAACTGATACAATGCATTGTATGAATCGATGTAGTATTCAAAGGTATTTCTCAATTGGTCATATCTATTTGGTTGAATGTCTTGATCAGACATTAAAAAATTTACAAGTGAAAAATTTTTGGGGTATAATTTAGTCGTCAAATTTTGATGAAAATTTTTCATAATAAAATTTTGGACATTTTCAATAATATGCTGCCAAATAGGAAATTAAAATAAAAAAATTTAAAACGATAACTGATTTTTTTTACAAGAGAACATCTTTTGGCTTTAAGAAGGTCAACTATAAATTAGTAAATTCATCCAATCAGATTTCAAATACAATATTTTTCAAAAAAAAAGGATAATTTAAGAATAAATCAACATTTTATATCTAAATACAAATATTATCAATCGTGTTGATATCTAACAAACAAAGATGGAGTACATTCCCAAATAATTGCTGTTGAGCGATCATTAATGAGCTGTAACGAAACAGTTGGGAAATTTATTGTTCCTGTTTTAATAGCCATGAATTTCAAAGTTAGCAAAGTTTCCATTTGATCTGTAAGTCGGATTTTCTTTGAAGTTTCGCCATCAAATAGGATTGATTCGGAACTAGAAAGAATAAAATCAACTGGAAGAGGACCTCTCATTGATCTTCCAATTAAATTAACTGTGTATATCTTCTTTTCTTCAATTTCTGTAGGTAAATCAAGTCTAACATCAACAACTTTTTCAAGTATATTGATTTCTGGCAATATTGTAATATATTTCATCTCATTGTAGTCTTTATCATGGAAATAAATTTCAATTTGCCCCAAAGGACCGGAAATTGAGCCAGGATGAGGTGTAAAGAACGAAGAATATGATAAAACTTCTGAGGAACTTACACGAACAGGGAAAATCGATGGATTATCTATTACACTAATATTATTTGTTGCTTTTGTAACAATATTAGTGATTGTAACTGCATTCGGACAGTTACATGCAAAGGTTGATATCAATATCGCTTGCTGCTCAAGTTGGACGATTTCTCGTGGCAATCTTGCGGAAAATTTAAATTCAGGATTGACAATTGTGAATTCTGAGTTGAAAGCGTTATAGAATTCAATGGAATATGTCTTATGCCACTTTGATGTAACAATTCCGAAACAAACTGATGCAGTAATCGAAATTTCAAGTGTACATGGCTGTTTTACAAGGATTTCAGCAGTTGTTTCAGTAGACTTATCAGGAGTTTGGATTGATGATTCAAATATTTGAGGATTTTGCGAATTCAAGAAGTTAAATGAATCTTTTTCATTTAATATCTCAATTTTTGTATGTTGAGCGATTGCACCGAACGGAATGTCTTTGCAAAGTAGTTTAATAGGGAATGGTGAGTTAACAACTCCAAATTCTGGTATATTTGAGCTGAATTCGCATTCATGGTCAAACGGGAAAATTACGGCTTCATCACATCCGATCGTAGCAAATTTATCAAATATAAGGGTTGCTCCTCCCAAATTCATTGAGATTGAAGCGATATTTAACGAACCGGAAGCAAATTTACCAATTTCCAAGGATGCCTTCTTAATTGAGCCACCGTTAAGGTCAAATTCATCAATTAGTACATGAGACGTCACTCCACTTATTGAATGTTTTACATTGACGATAATATTTTTTGCTTTTAAGGGAGATTTTAAGGCAGACTTCATTAAAAGAAGAACGGTTGGCTTTTGGTTTGGCATTATAGAATGCGTAGAGAAGCCAGAGCTGAATTCGAAAGGTGTTGGAACATTTTTAACTTCGATTGTAATATTTTCGCAGCTTGAGATATGTTTTTCGAATGTATTTTGTACAAGATCATTTAAATAGCGTCTGTAAGTCGGATGCAAGCATCTTAAGATGTATTGAAGCCAAGTTTTCAAATCTCCTTCAATACGATATGCCAAAGCAAGTAAAATAGTTATCTGGGCTGCAATTGGGTGGAAATTCCTTGTAGAATATCTCTCCTTTTCGTTTTCTAATATTTTTATTGCTTCATCAAGCGTTTGAACATTAAGTTGTTCAAGAATTGGTTCTGCTGATGCATAATTTGTTTCTTCAAGTTTCTTACCAATTGTTAATAGCTTGTTAATTAGTTCAGAAGAAGAATTCATTTTTAATTTACAATGTCAAAAATAATTATCGGAAAATTGATTTGTAAATTGTAAATTGATAAAAAAGACGATAAAAATTAACTTCGTTATTTCAAGATGTCTGAAGCCGTTGATTCTCTGAACGAAGCAATTCTAGAATCAAGGCGTCAGCTTCATGATCTCCAGGAAGCTCTACAGAAACCAGATATTGATTATTCTCAAGTTTTAGAACAGATTACAACCACTGGAGAGAAAATTAAGTCAGAAGCAGATAGAATTTCCGATTTTAAATACAATGAGTCAACAGTGCTTCCAATTGCACATCAAAAAAAGCCACCAACAATGATAGAACAAATTCGAGCTGTTTCTCCAAAAGAATTTACACCTTCACACTCAACAAAAGCATATGAACTTAAAAAGAAATACATCAAACCGGGCGTTCCTCAAAATAAACCACTCCCTCGCTTGTCAGCAGCTCAAAAACAACTTCCTGCAGTCGAATTACTCAAAAGAGGTTTAGTTTCAGAAACAGATGACTTATCAGAAATCATGCCTCAAGTTGCAGGCAACCAGCCAATACAAAAATCAACACTTTTCAACGGAATCGCGTATGATTTCAGAGGAGCAGCAGAAGCCAGCAAAAGAAGGAGGGAAGAAAAGAAACAACAAGAGGAAATCTTTACTCGACAAATGGAGAAAGTCTCTGAAAAGCCTCCAGAAGAAAAACCAGAACCTCCTCTTACTCCTACAGAGCCAGCTGTTAAAAAAGAGACACAGAATCCACGTATTTACGAACAATTGCAGGATGAATATGCTTACCAAACACTTCTTGTCGTTCGAGGAAAAGTTGCTCGTGAAACTCCTGATTTTGAATCATTCCAACGTACAAATGCAAGCAGATTCAAATCAATTGATAATGTTCTTAATGCAATTGAAGGCTATTGCGCTGTTTTTGGCATTTCTTATGCTGAAATTGACGGTAGAAAATTATCTGAAGCTGCAAACCTTACAACACTTACATACGATCAGGTAGGACGTTGTCTTATCGGAACAAAAGAGCAAGTTGAAAAAGCCAGGCTCAAAGCTGCAAATCTCATAAAATTTAATTGGAAAGTTTGGAAATGGCGTCGTGACACAGAGCGAAATAAGAAGCTCTTCAGGGCTGCTTATACAATACAGATGGCTTGGCGAATGAATCAAGTTAGACGTGCAATAATGATCGAATGTCGCAAAAGAATCGAAAGCATCGATAATAAAGCTGACGAACTATCACAATCCATCGTAAACAAATACAGCCAGATCGAATCCGATCCATACGTCGTTATCCACGTAATGACAAATTTCCAAGATCTGACACGCGTTCTAGATCTCATGTATAGCAACGTGTCCATCATCCTTCTTCTCTCAGAGCTCCCTCCCGGCCACATTTGGGAAGATTTCATAGAGTTTATGGGATGTTGTGGAATTCCTAACGTAAATCAACGCGTAAACTACGTAATAATACGTGATTTGAGGTCAGGAAACAACACCTCCAACAAACTCCTTTGCGATATGCGTTCAATCAACCAAGTCCGGAGATTAATTGCAAGTCGCAACTGTTTCATCATTCCACACTCAGACTGGCATGCAGAAAGGCGTCTTTCTGTTGATATCAGTTGTCCAATATTCGGCTGTGTCAATACAAACATGTTACAAGGTCGAAACAGTATGAGAGACATTTTCAGAGATGCAGAAGTTGTTTCATCAATTTCTACACGAGAGATGCGAGATTTCGGACAATTGTGTGACTCATTGCGAGATCTTCTTATAGATAACAAAGACATCACACGCTGGATCATCCATTTAGGCTTCATCCAGAGCGAAGATGCCATTGCATGGTTCGACACAAACCAAGATTTTTACGATGAATCGAAAGATCTTTCTGAGTTAATTAAGAAGAATTTGCATGCGAAACAAGGTGCGTCAAAGTTCATCCAGATGATACCAAGACTCGGCGCGACATGTGAAGCAGTTCCTTCTGTTGTAAGATCATTCCCTTCTGTCTGTGTTTTGATCACAGGAAATGAAATAAGAGTTATCGGAACATATGACAGAATTCATTACCAACCATTTAGATTTTGCTCTTCATTTGTTCCAGCGATATCTTGCAACACGGTTGATTTGATAACGAAAGCAAGACAAGTTGCAACAATACTATTGAAGAGAGGAGCAATTGGTTATTCAACAATTGATTTCCTTGTTTACAGCGAGAAAGATAATCCACAAAGTATTATTGGTTTTGATGTAAGAGTTAATACTTATCCTTCTTCTTTGAATATGTGTTTTGTGTCTTTATGTTGCGGATTCGAACAATCTTCAGGAAAAATGAAATTATTAAAAGGTGTCGGAGATGTTTACGGAAAGAAATCAAGATTTGCAATTGTACACAGCGGATTGACACATCCTGGATTATCAATGATAGGAACAAAGGATTTAAAGTCTCAATTGTTTTCTGAAGGTTTGTTGTTCGATTTGTTACAAAGAGTTGGCTTCAAATTGCTTTTCTTGGCAAATCCAAGTGAGGGAAAAAATATCGCAATTGCTGGCGCAAAAACACCTGAAAACGCATTGGCATTAATGGAAAAGGCTTACACATATATGCTGAAACTTCTTTCGCCTAAATCTGGTGGTGATTTGGAAAGCTCTATTTCATCTGCTTTAATAGGAATGAGGCACTTCAAAACAAGAATCTTTCCATGATTTTGTATTACTTATTTTATTATTATTTTGTTTGTTTTGTTTATATTAATAAAAAGAATTATTTCTATCATATCTTTTGACATTTGAAATATATATTACTCAGATATTCAAATTCTCTAAATTTTCGAATTTAGTCAACTGATAATACTCATTTATTCTAAATCTCTATATTCTCTAAAATCTCAAAAAACTTCGATCATTATAAAATCATGTCTTATTTTTTCTCTATTAATCGTTAAAATATAATATTAATAAATCAAATTCAAATTATCTATACTAGAAAATAACACTTTTCCGACATTCTTAGATCGCTTCACGCCCCTGACAAAACGTCGGAAAAGTGTTAATTTAGTTGTATAAGCTCATTTCTTAAAAGTGATTTATATATCCTTGTTTTCGCAATCGTTCATTACTTGAGTTATGTTGTTATCACGGAACAGTCGATTCTTTCAAGTTATTAAGAGCGAAATTTCTCTCAGAGATTACTAAAGCATTTCTAGAATTATCATTGTTAAGTGGGAAGCCAGAGATCATCAGTTAATGCTTGAATATGCAAATTTTTCACGCAACATTGATTTCATTTCATTCTTGACGAATGAATACAAAATAGAGAACAGTTTTAACTCTCTAGAGCACAGCGTCATATAATAGTTTAGAAGTTGCTAAATTTCTACTTATTTCACATGATACAAATATAAATGAAAAAGATGAAGAAGGTGACACGGCTCTTCATTATGCAGTTATTAATAATCATAAAGAATTAGTCGAACTTCTTATTTCACATGGCACAAGTATAAATGAAAAAGATAAATATGAAAACATACTCAAAATTAGGGTTATTTTAGAGTGGAAAAAAAGTAAAAAGACGATCAAAATTCTCTCAATTTTCCACCTTTTTTCCAAAATAATTTTTTTAATATTAAAAATTATATCAACAAATATCAATATAAAAGTGCTTTAATATTACAACCTTTAATGATAAAAGTTAGTTTATTGGCTTTAAAAAGGCAGGGTTTTCATTCTGGGGCTCCTGCACTTCGCTTGGAAAATTGAGAGAATTTTGATCGTCTTTTTTTACTTTTATTCCACTCTAGAATGATCCCAAAATTACGCAAAAGATAACAATTAAGAAGAATTAGCTAACATTTTTCTTTCCTATGGGCATATATTGATGAAAAAGGTAAAGATCAAGAATCACCTCCTAATGAAGAGAAAAATGAACATTTTTCATGTGGTGCAAAATGCTTAATATAACATTGTGTCGTTGACGCTATGCATTTTGGATCTTTATATCTATTTATAAATTTTTAAAGTCAAATTTTGGGATTAAAATCATTGCATTTCAATTAACTTAATGCAGATTTTAGTTAAGATACTCACAGGCAAGCATATCGCACTCAAAGTTGAACCAACTGACAGAATTGAAGGTGTAAAGGCCAAGATCAAAGACAAGGAAGGTATTCCACCAGATCAACAGCGTCTCATCTTTGCCCGCAAGCAACGCGAAGATGGTAACAAACTTCAAGACTTTTAATTCCTAATCGATGAGGAATTCGTTGAAGAGCTGCTATTGTCTTGAAGCTCCCGAAGTTACAGAAGAAAAACAATGAATAATTAAGAAGATCTGCAGCTGATTCTGATGAAATGAAGAGATCAGATCTCAACGCATCCGAAAATATTCCACATAAAAATGTGAAAGTAAACCACCTTAAGCTAAACTGGTTTTATTGGGAATCAATGAAATTGATTTTAGATTTATTTTATCGATGAATTAAGAAAGATCATTAATATATTAGATGAAAAGTATTGTAGTTTCATTTGTATTATCAAATAAAGGTTGCTTTAAATTGAAAATTCATATAAATTCTGAAATAGGATATTTTGTGGGAAGGACTAATATCTATTGATGAAATATAATATAAATTAAAAAAAAAAAAAAAAAAAAAAAAAAAAAAAAAAAAAAAAGGTAGTGGGGCTTCCAGGCACTTCGTGCCCTCTAGCCCCGAAGATGTTTAGAATATGAGAGAGGTCCTATAAACCGGAGAAAGTGTCATATAAACATCTGTCATTTTACTCAGAATTTTCATGAAATTTACACCAAAAATATATTTTAGGGTAGAAGGGTATATCTAACCTCTTTTCTAACCTCTTTTCTACCCTCTTGAATTTTCATGAAATTTACACCAAAAATATATTTTAGGGTAGAAGGGTATATCTAACCTCTTTTCTAACCTCTTTTCTACCCTCTTGAATTTTCATGAAATTTACACCAAAAATATATTTTAGGGTAGAAGGGTATATCTAACCTCTTTTCTAACCTCATTTCTAACCTCTTGAATTTTCATGAATTTTCATGAAATTTACACCAAAAATATACTACTAGGGTCATTTACGAAGAAATCTCAACAAAGTCTTTACGATGAAGTCTTGACAAAGTCTTTACGAAGAAGTCTTGACAAAGTCTTTACGAAGAAGTCTTAACAAAGTCTTTACGAAGAAGTCTTAACAAAGTCTTTACGAAGAAGTCTTAACAAAGTCTTTACGAAGAAGTCTCAACAAAGTCTTTACGAAGAAGTCTCAACAAAGTCTTTACGAAGAAGTCTTAACAAAGTCTTTACGAAGAAGTCTTAACAAAGTCTTTACGAAGAAATTCATGAAAATTCAAGAGGTTAGAAAAGAGGTTAGAAAAGAGGTTAGAAAAGAGGTTAGATATACCCTTCTACCCTAAAATATATTTTTGGGTCATTTACACTCATTTACGAAGAAGTCTCAACAAAGTCTTTACGAAGAAGTCTCAACAAAGTCTTTACGAAAAAGTCTTAACAAAGTCTTTACGAAGAAATTCATGAAAATTCAAGAGGGTAGAAAAGAGGTTAGAAAAGAGGTTAGATATACCCTTCTACCCTAAAATATATTTTGGGTCATTTACACTCATTTACGAAGAAGTCTTAACAAAGTCTTTACGAAGAAGTCATAACAAAGAAATTTTACTAGTAAGTAAATGTGGTTTGAAATAGGACTACTTGTTTTAGGTTTTTTCCATTGTGTCATTTACTTATTTGACGTGGCAGAAAGATATAGAGAATATGAAGATGAACCAATGCCTGCAAATGTTCAGCATATGTACTCGTAAGAGATATTTTTATCTAATATTAAAATGGACGCACAGAACTTAGCGAATGCACAGCAACCTGGACAACCAAACCCAGAGAATATTCCAAATGAAGTTAGAATACAAACTGCAATGGCAAACTATGGTCAAGTGCCAACAGATGTACAAATGCAAACTGCCATGTCAAATGACGCTGCGTTAGGTTTGCCACCATGGTATGCAAATATGAGATGGAAAGAGTTTTATACAAACCCTGAAGTGGGATATAAACAACTCTATGCAGATGACGCGAACACAGGAGTTGACCCAGAGTATGTTTTCTACCAGAGGAGAAATAGAATGTATGAGCTCCAGTTAAAGAATGCTATGGAACTCAGAAGGAAACGTAAGAGACTAGGCGGACATTAGATTTTTACATATAGTAAAATGGGTTTCTTCAGTAGTATTGGAAACTTCTTTCGAAATGTTGGAAGAGGTATATGGAATGGAATAAAAACCGTAGGAAGAGGAATTTGGAACGGAGTCAAAAATATTGGTAAAAGAGTAGGTCAGTTCGTTGGTATTATACCTAAAGACCCTGAACCAGAAGAACAAGCTCCTGTTATACAACAGCCTGAACCTGCACCACAGTCTAGTTGGCAACCAAATCCAACACCTCAACCGTATTAAAATTATATTTTTACCGTTCGATAGTAGTTGTATATGAAACTAAGTTCTAAGTAAAACGCGTGGTATAATGGAATTATTCTCTTTCTTCCATCTGTTGTAAACCATACTTGAAAGTCTGAAATACTTCCACTCGGTGGTTCGTATAACTTTGTAGGTTTTTCGTAAAAGTCATTTGCCAAGCATAAGAAAGAGTTTTGGGCGCCAGAAAATGAAGCATGAACAATAATAGCATCTGAGTCGAAAACATTTTCATATGTTCCATTAGGGTTTTCGACTTCATAAAAGTTCGGGTGTACTGGATATTCTGCAGGCTGATTTAACATCCTCAAAAATCTATACCATGCCAAGTTGTTATATTTTGTAGAAATATAAACGTCTTCTCCAAGGTCTTCTATTCTATTGATTTTAACAGTTGCATTTTTCCTGTCATAAACAATATCGAGATGGTACTCTCCTTCGTCAATGTTAAACTGGTTTGCATATTCGAGATAGATATCGTTTATTTTTTCTTGAAAAGCTTGAAGAGTTGTTTCTAAGTTTACAAGCAAATTCACTTGTAAAAGTTTTCCCTGTTCAAATTTCTCATACGTATGTTTTTCTTTGTTATAGTATCGAATTTCAAAAGCGACCGTAAATGGGAAACCATGTATGGCTTCTGAAATGAACTTCATTCTACGAAAGCCAACAGCTTTTGTGACGGATGGGTCTCTTAACCATCTTAACGGGTAGTCAAAACGATAGCCTTCATGCTTTACGGTCTCTGTCTCAAACTTTTGACCGACATTCGTAAAAAGTTCATCTAATGGTTTAGTTGTAGCAACTCTTGAATTTTCTTTTTCTATTGAAAGCATATTTTATCTAGAATAAAAATGTCGAAAGAAACAGCGTCTATGAGAGAAATACAACACAACCGACAACTCATTTTGCAAGCTCTAAATAAGAACACAACAAACTTTTCAAACTATTCTAAGATATCTGAGTCATTGAAAGAAGGAAACTTAAAACTGACATTAAACCCTTTAACAGACGAGTTTCTGTTTCAAGACAGTAAGAACCATACTGTTTGTATAAATCCAACAAAAGGAACTTTAAACGAGAAACCTATAAAAGAACTTCTTTTGAAAGCAGATGTTGACAACAAAGCTGACAAAGAGTATGTCATTGAAAAAGTTCAAGAAGAACATGACAGAGCAGATGCAACATATGCAACGAAAGAACATACTCATCCTGAACTAGCAGACAAAACATATGTTGACAATAAAATGTCAAGTGAAGTGACAAGAGCTGAAAACGAATATTCTAAAAAGACTCATACACATACCATTGCAAATATTACAAACTTACAAGAAACCTTAAACAAGAAAAGTGACGTTGGACATACACACGATTTCTTCGCAACTGTTGGTATAGAAAATATTGCAGGAACGGTTGAAGAACCTGATGGAACTGGTGGGGATGTATTAAATTGGAAACCTCCTAACTTTCCACAAGGTTTAACATCGGATGAAGACACGACGATGAAATACACTAGATGTAGAAATGTCTATGTCATGGAGGATGAAAACAATGTTAAATTCACTGCTCAAGATTTATATGATAAGAAAGCTGACAAAACATATGTTAACGATGAGTTAGATAAAAAAGCTGACAAAACATATGTTAACGATGAGTTAGATAAAAAAGCTGACAAAACAGAGCTTCAAACGTTAAAGACAGAAATACTTCAAACACTATATCCTATAGGTTCTATTTACACGTCAATGAACTCTACCAGACCAGAAGTAGTACTTGGTTCGAACTTGGACTCAAATAGTCGACAGGTTTTTGTATTGTGCAAACTCTTCAAAGGAAACAGGTGGAAGTAAAACGATTTCAGGTGAAAACTTACTGCGCACAGTCACTACATAGATTTAAGTACATCTCAAGCAGGTTGGCATAAGCATAGATTTTGGGATTGGTCAGCAATGAAAAAAGGTAAAGGATATGATGTTAAAGACAACGTTCAGTTTGCTATAAATTGTTTCTGGGTGACACAGGGAGAAGGAAACCATACACATCGCGTTTCAGGGTATACGCAAACAACGGGACAAAGTAAAGACTACATGCCACCTTACATGACAGTTTACGCATGGTATAGAATTGCTTAGTCGTCATTTTCAACTTCTTTAGCATATTCGTCAGGAGTTGTCTTATATTTGTTAGGAACTGTCTTTGAAAGTATACCACCTTGAACTTTGACAAGTTTGAAACGAGGTCTGACAATAGTAGTTTTATCTTCTGCTTGCAGTCTGTACATTTTGCCATGTTTGCCTAAAACTTCATAATATTCTCTTGTATACTTTCTTCTATTTTTACGAACACGAATGTGAGTACCTGTCGGGTTCCCATTGTTGTCATAGTCAATAGTATTTTCATATGGGTCGCGTTTAGGTATTTCTATTTTTACTTTGTCACCTTTCTTAAGTTTGAAGCCTGGCATTCTTTCTTGTTTGTCTCTTTTGACTAAACTATTAAATATATAGTCTTTCTCTAAGTCAGGGTTGTTTTTCATTTCTTCGGGGGAATGGTTTCCCAAACCTTTTTGTTTACGGCTATTGTAAATATTTAAAACTTGTCTCATCTTTGCCATGGAGAAGTGTCTATATTTGTCGTCATATGACATTTCATTTGCTTCACCACCTTGTGGTTGGTTTAAGTCTCTTAACATTTTTATACAACCGTCAATGACACCAAGAGCAGAATGGTTTTGGTCG